TTCCCTTCCCACCCTGAATGAATTGGGGGGCTGGGCAGCCCCCCAGGGGGTTCCAGCTGCCAGCATGATCCCCTTCTCCCTTTCCCATGGGAAAGCAGCAGGGCCAGGCTGGATAAATCCATCTTTATTCCTTTATCAAAACCGTTTAAAAAGCAGCTTTAAACCCAAAACCTGACAGTGGGGGGACCCCAAAACAAGCAGAGCCCCCAGGATGGGGAATGGGATCCCCTCTGTACCCTGAGCTGGCTAGATTGGGACAGCATCCCCGGCGAGCAGGGAATGCRGGAGCTCTTCTCCTGGATTTGGAGCTCCTGGGGGCATTTGTGGTGAAGGCACTTGTGGCATATGTGGCAAGGCACGGCCCCCGATTTTGGGGTGCTCCCAGAGGGACGGGGGACTCCCAGGACCCCTGGGAGAACCGGGAAGCAGAGGAGGGGGCACAGCAGAGGGTGGGGACACATACTTGGGATGCTTGGGATAACAGAGCCAAGCTTTGCGGGAGCTTTGTGGGGCTCAATCCTCCCGGTTCCGGGGCCCCCCAAACTTCTGGCGCCGCCGCAGCTCCTCCACCTTCCACTCCAGGCTCCGCACAGCCGCATCCAGCCGGGCACTGGGATCTGGAGATGCCACCAGGCTGCCCAGGAGGACRTAGAGCACCCACAGGCCCAGCAGCATTCCCGCCTGCGCTGTGGGGTTCTCCTGGGAYGCAGCCACGTGCAGGAAAGCTCCGAGGAAGAGGAAAAGCTTCAAGCCGCGGAATAGCGGGAGCAGCAGCCCTCGGAGCCGGGATAGCACCCAGGATCCCAGCAGGGCAGCCACAGCCCACAGAAGCACCCTCTGGACTTCTCCGGGAGCCAACGCCGCTGCTCGGACCAGCCGGTGGCCTGGGAATGGGATCCAGGAGTGAGCAGTGGTGGTACCGGGAATGGGGGCTGGAGCTGTCCCATGGGGTGATTCCCACTCACCACTGAAGCTGGAAGCGGCCAGGAGATCCCCCAGGATCCCACAGACCGTGGTTAGGGCTGCTGAAATCCCGGAGGAAACAATCCAGAGGGTGGCAGAGAGACTCTGCAGGAAAAAAYGGAGATAGAGTGGGAAAAGAGGGCATAGATCCCTGTGTCCCTGCACGAGGATCCCCAGGGAAGGGGTGGGAATCAGGATCCCACCTCTGCCACCAYCTGCAGGGGCTGGGGTCCCACCCAGTTTTCCAGGGTGTCCCAAGTGGCTCTTCCCAGCCGCATCAGTAGGTCATCGGAGGTGGCAGCATGTGCCCGGAATCCCTCCTGGTCATCCCTGGCTCCGTCCCCGGCCGATCCCATGAGGAATGGGATCCACAGCACCAGGGCCAGCAGGACCCGGCACCCCATGGCACTCCTCATCCTGGATCCCAGGATCTGTGGGGAGAGGGAGAGCTGGGAGTGCTGGAAGGGAGAAACCCTGCTAGTTTTGGGGTCCCTTTGCTGGTTTTGGGGTCCGCTGAAGAGAAGGGGAGGGCAGAGGCCCCACAGCCTCGTTTCCCCCCCCTCCTCGGCACAGGCCTCGGGTGTCCCRGCTATTTTTGGGATAGACAGGAGTCAGCGGGACACAGCCAAGGGCACCGGATCTGGCTGGGAAGGGGGGGCACCCCTTCCCAAAGGAGAGAGCAGGGTGCTCTGGGGTGGGACACAGCCACCACTGTCGCCCCTGAGACACCCTGTGCTCCCCACTGTTCCCCAATCCCCCTGGGATCCTCCCAATCCATTGCCCAGGCCCTCCCCGTTCCCTCATCCCCGTGGAGACCCCCGATCCCCCCAGTCCCCTTCCCCCCCCAGGGCCCTCCACCCTCCACGATCCCCAAAAACTCCTCGTTCCCCCCAATTTCCCCTACACCCCCAAATCTCCTTGTACGCACCCCACCCAGATTTTCCCGGTCTCCAGGAATCCTCTGATACCCTCAGGATCCCCCCAGGCCCCCCCTGTACCCACCTCCCACAGTTCCTCACCACCCTTCAGGACCCCCCCAATCCCCCCGGGATCCCCCCAGAAACCCCCACCGCGGCTCCCTCACCCTGTCTATCCCTCCCCGGCCCCTCCCCCGCCCATTTTCTCTCCATTTTCCCTCGATTTTCCCCGAATTTCCCCCCCCACACAGCCCGGGATCCCCCCCGACCCCCCCTCACCGGGGCTTCCCTGGGCTCCGCCGCGGGGCACGCCGGGAGCTGTAGTCCCCGGGGCGCCCGCGGTGCATGCCGGGAACGCGGTCACCATGGCAACAACCGGACGGGCGGGCGGCGGCGCGCGGTGCACGACGGGAGGCGCCGTTCCCGCCGGCGGGGGGAGCGCGGGGGATGCCGGGAGCGCTTCCGGTTCCGGCGGCGGCGGCGGCGCCCGCGTGAGCGCTCGGGAGCGGCGCGGGGAGGCCGCGAGCGCCAACCGGAACCGGAACCGGGACCCGGGACCGGAAAGGAGAACCGGAAACAGCCTCGGAAGGGCAGCGGGACCGTGAGCGGAGCGCCGCGACCGCCCGGCCTCCGCCATGGCGCTGATCTGCTCCAGTGAGTGCCGAGCGACAGCGGCCGCGGTGGCGGGGATTCGTTACCGAATGGGGGATGCTGGGCTGCGGGGCGGGAACAGTCGGGATCGGCGGGGGATCACCGGCAGGGAATTCCCGAACCCCCGCTCCCAACCCATCTCATCCCTCCCTCTCCCCGCCAAGTTTCCAACGAGGTCCCGGAGCACCCGTGCGTGTCGCCGGTGTCCAACCACGTGTACGAGCGGCGGCTGATCGAGAAATACATCGCGGAGAACGGCACCGACCCCGTGAACAACCAGCCCTTGTCCGAGGAGCAGCTCATCGACATCAAAGGTGCTGGGAACGGGAACGGGAATGGGAAGTGGCGTCGCCGGGAGAATGGGAAGGGGCTCTGTGGTCGGAAATTGGGGGTCCCGAGGTGTTCTGGGGTTTGCTGAAGTGGGGGTGAGATGCCAAACTAAGCTGGGAAGAGGAGGGATAAAGAAGGAATTGTGAAATGGGATGGGCGAGTGGTGGGAGCGCAGGAATCCATAGGGATATCGAGGTCACGGATGATGTGTCCCCCCTTCTTCCAGTCGCCCACCCGATCCGCCCCAAGCCCCCCTCGGCCACCAGCATCCCGGCCATCCTGAAAGCCCTGCAGGACGAGTGGGTGAGTGCTGGGGGGGCTCCCGGGGCTGGGATGCCGCCCTTCCCTGGCTGACTCTGGCTCTTCCCTGCAGGATGCCGTGATGCTGCACAGCTTCACGCTGCGCCAGCAGCTGCAGACCACGCGCCAGGAGCTGTCCCACGCCCTGTACCAGCACGATGCCGCCTGCAGGGTCATCGCCCGCCTCACCAAGGAGGTCACTGCTGCCAGAGAAGGTGATGCAGATGCTTGGCTTTCCTGGGAAGGGGTGCTGGGAAGTGTTTTATCCCAGTTTCCTGTTAATCTCGTTGTGTCCTTGCAGCTCTGGCCACGCTGAAGCCGCAGGCCGGGCTCATCGTGCCCCAGGCGGTGCCGTCGGCGCAGCCCAATGTGGCCGTGAGTCCCTGCTCCCCATCCTGGCCCTTTTCCTGCTCATTCCCARCCCTTTTCCCTCTCTGCATGGGCCCATTCTCTCTCTGCATGTGCCCTGTCTCTGTCCCACATAGGGTGCTGGCGAGGCCATGGATCTGGGAGAGCTGGCGGGAATGACCCCGGAGATCATTCAGAAGGTGAGGAGGGTCTTCCATGCATCCCCCTTTCCATCTTCCCATTGCTGAATTCCCAGTCTGTGCTCACCCTTCTCTTCATTTCCAGCTCCAAGACAAGGCAACGGTGCTGACCACGGAGCGTAAGAAGGTGAGTGGCCTCATCCAAGGATTCCCTGGGAGCCAGGATATGCTCCAGGAGAAGCTGAGCTTTATCCCTGTGTTTTCCAGAGGGGCAAGACAGTCCCAGAGGAGCTGGTGAAGCCAGAGGAGCTCAGCAAGTACCGGCAGGTGGCTTCACACGTGGTGAGTGCYGGGACTGGAAAGGGCTGGAAAACTTCCACATGGAGTTGGGAATCCCTTCTCGAGTGTTTTCCTGCTCGTGGCATTAATTTGGGGTTCTCCTCCCTCACACAGGGGCTGCACAGCGCCAGCATCCCAGGAATTCTTGCCTTGGATTTGTGTCCTTCTGACACCAACAAGATCCTCACTGGTAAGGGAGCTTTCCTGGGAATTTCTCACCTGGGACCAGGCCCTTTTCTCTGTGTTTTTGGGAATTTGAAGTGGAACAAGGRACATAAGGCAGGGGGATTTGGAGTGGGTTGGCCCCACACTCCCATCCCAGCGCTTCCCACTCGGTTTTCCAGGTGGGGCCGACAAAAACGTCATCGTGTTCGACAAGAGCTCGGAGCAGATCCTGGCCACACTCAAGGGCCACACCAAGAAGGTCACCAGCGTTGTCTTCCACCCATCCCAGGTGCATTTGGCTCTTCCCTCGCTTCCAGGATGCCTCAAATTGGCACATCAGGACCCTCTTCTGGTGGAATCTCCCAGTGGGAGCTCTTGGAGAGGTGAATTCCTCCCGTGTGGACCTTCCAATGTTGTSCTTGTGTAGGACTTGGTGTTCTCGGCTTCTCCCGACGCCACGATCCGGATCTGGTCCGTTCCCARCGCCTCCTGTGTGCAGGTGGTCCGTGCCCACGAGGGCTCCGTGACCGGGCTCAGCCTCCACGCCACGGGTGATTACCTGCTCAGCTCCTCGGATGATCAGGTGAGCCCTGTCCCATCCCACAGATCCCACCTCTGCTTCCCACCCTTCCGTGTCCAACGCTCTTCCTCTCTCCCAGTACTGGGCTTTCTCGGATATCCAGACAGGCCGTGTCCTCACCAAGGTGACAGATGAGAGCTCTGGATGTGGTAAGGCTTGGAGCTGGGAATCCCTTTGTTCCTGGAGTTCATGGGAATTCCTTTAGGGGGTCTTGGTATCCTTCCCAACTTTCCTGAGTATTCTTAACCCTTCCAATCTCCCCAACTAGCCCTAGCCCTCCCAAGTTTTCCCAACTCACTCCTTCTCCTGGTCTCACTGCAGCTCTCACCTGTGCCCAGTTCCACCCTGATGGGCTCATTTTTGGGACGGGAACTATGGATTCCCAAATCAAGATCTGGGATCTGAAGGTAAGGGCTGATGGTAATGTGCAGAAACAGGGAGTGGTTTGGGGATCAGTCCAAGGAGCAGAACTTTATGGAATGTTTTTGGAAGTTATCCCTGAAAATCTCAAGATTCCAGCTCCAGAGCAGCCGCTGGTCATCAGTGACCATGCAGGTTGGTTGGGAACGATGCCACATTGCAGTGCTGTGACCATCCTGTCCCCAGGAACGCACCAACGTGGCCAACTTCCCGGGACACTCCGGCCCCATCACCAGCATCGCCTTCTCCGAGAACGGCTACTACCTGGCCACGGCGGCCGACGATTCCTCTGTCAAGCTCTGGGATTTGAGGAAGCTCAAGAACTTCAAGACGTTGCAGCTGGATAACAACTTTGAGGTGTGTGATGTCCCTTTTCTCCCCTAAGGCTCTCCGGGGGATCTAGCATCCCAAAAAAGCCATTGTGAGCTTTTCCAACGCCTTGTTGTGCTTCTTCTCCGCAGGTGAAATCCCTGATTTTCGACCAGAGTGGAACCTATCTGGCACTGGGCGGGACKGATGTCCAGATCTACATCTGCAAGCAGTGGACAGAGATCCTCCACTTCACAGGTGAGGGATTGTGAGAATCATGGAAGTGGCCAGGATGGGAATGGGACAAATCCGCTCAGTGTTGTGACCATGGATTGTTTTCCACCCCAGAGCACAGTGGCCTGACCACAGGAGTGGCCTTTGGCCACCACGCCAAGTTCATCGCTTCCACAGGCATGGATCGGAGCCTCAAGTTCTACAGCCTGTAGCCCTGGAAGTGGAGTTGGGATTTTTTGGGATTCAGGATGGGAGGTGGGTGGGAATATCCATGTGGGATTATCCAGGTGGGATTATCAAGCTCCTCTGTTGTAGTTGTTGGCACAGGGGAAGTCGGACATTGCCTTCCCTGTGCTCCATGAATTTATTGTTTCGTTTTTTTCCCCATTCCTTGTGTTTTCTGCCTTTAGATTGTTTTGTGCTTGTAACTGGTTTGAAAAAGAAACCCCAATTCCTGTGCTGGTGGAAATTTGAGGCTGGCATGTGTGGAAGGAGGGAGGGAAGGGAGGACTGTGAAGCTTTTGTAAGCAGTTACTTAGTTTCAGTATGGAAATAAAGAATTATTCCCTGTCACCCCGGCTGGAAAAGGCTCCTGTGAAGGGCTGGGGGTTAGYAGGGTGGGATTTATGAGTCTGTAGGATTTGGGGAATGGGGATAAGGGACCCTYTTTTYYCCCCTCCTAAGGACAAACCACCCCTCAAGCTGTGCTCTGCACTGATTTATTTTTCCAGCTTTCCCAGACACATCCGGCAGCATCCAGGTAAAGGCAGGAGCTGTGAGGAGGAAGAGGGGCAGGAGATAACTTAGAGGGATGAAGGGGTTTTTGGGATGAAGGGAYTTTTAGGGAGCAGAAGCCTCTCACTCCTCAGCCTGTCCGCTGAGCTCTTCCTCTCTTGGGAACCTTGGGAAAGACAACACGTCCGTGCGATGTGACTGTCCCCATGCTGTCACCTGTCCTCCTGTGCCCTGGAGACCTCCGTGCTCCTGTGGAGAACAGCAGGTTGGCCAGGGAAGAAGGGGACATGTAGAGCTCTTTCCAAATCCCTGGAGGCTCCCAGACTTACGTGAGGGCACTCCYAGCTGGCAGGAGGGACGACAGGGCTCTGGCTGGGCCAGGTGGCACACGGAAGCGCTGCAGGAGATGTACACCTGGGAGCCACAGGAATGCCAGCATCACCTGGGGATCTGCTAAAAGGGGCTCCAAGCCTCGTGGGTCCCCCAAAAAGAACCCCCAAACCTTGAGGTACCCCCCAAAAGCAGCGTGAGCTTCCCAAGGAAGGAAGGAAGGAAGGAAGGAAGGAAGGAAGGGAGGGAGGGAGGAAGGGAGGAAGATGCCATGAGCAGCTGGAAATGGGGTCAGTTCTGGGGTGAGTTTGCAGGTGTCGGGATGAGGGATTCCCAACACTGAGGGATTCCCAGCACTGAGGGGTTCAGGGGGATCCCCCTCACCTCCCCCTCCAGCACAGCCATGCCAGGGGGCTCCACAAAGGCAAAGGTGTAGATGACAAAGCGCTGGTAGTGGCTTGGGAAGGGCATCTCCAGAGARGCCGGGCCCACCGGAATCAGCCGCGTCCTGTAGTTGTCCCCTTGGAAGGGACACCTGGGCAGGCAACAAGGACCCTGTATCAGCCCAGGTAACCCCCCTCACCTCCGTCTTCCCATCCTTTTCCACTCACCCATCCACCAGGATGGGCCACTGGGGCTGGGATGTGGCGTGGGAGCCAGGGGAGGCCCAGCAGTGGTGCAGCACCAGCACCAAATTGGGATCCGTCTTCTGGAGCAGCCGAACTTCCACATAAATGGGGTCTCGGAGCACCCTCACCAGGGGGAAGTCACCCACAGGGTGGTAGGAGCTGTAGGATTCATCTGTGGGAAGGTTGGCAAGAGTTGAGTGGGATGGGAAGGGGAATAGGGAGCGGGACAGGGAGCACTCACCAGTGGCGATCCGCAGCTGCAGCCCCAGTGGCCCTGGCATGGCCAGCGGGGCAGCTGTGGGGGGCATGGCCACCTCCACTCCCAAGGGAAGCAGGTCACTGGCATTGTAGATGCACCGAGCGTGGAGACTGGGAAGAGAGGGAGAGAAAAGTGGGACACTCCCAAAATCCTCCATCAGCTCCCCCAAGCCTGAGTTGTGAGGACACCATTGGGAATGTGGCAGGAGCGAGGTTTGGATTGATCCGAGGGAGAATCCGGGCTTTCTGCCGGGGTTTCACCCCTTTCCCTCACATGTAGACGCTGTCCCGGGTGATGGAGCCGCGGGGGGATCCCTGGACGTCGATGGTGGTGATCAACTGGTTCTCATAGATCAGCTTGTCCTCGACCACCTGTGTGGGGAACGTGGGAATGGGAAACATCCTGGAGGGATACATGGGTCAGGGTTTGAGGCACAAGTGAGGATGAGTTCTTTATCCTGAAGTTTTGGAGGGGTAAACATGGGACTGGGAACATCCTGGGGGCACCTCTATCTTGAAGTGACCCCACCATGCCCACCTGGGGGTTTTTCAGGGTTTTTCTGCCCTACCTGGACCGTGGTGCCGCAGTGGGTGACCGGGAAGCGGAACATGACGAAGGCCTCGGACACGTGCAGGGGCTCACATCCCGCCTGGCTGCTGGCCAGCCGCACACTGTCCAGGTTGTACTGCGGGGCCACCATTCCCCGTGGGACCACCAGGACAAAATATCCCTCCAGCAGGCACTGCACGGTGGCTGCGACACCACGGAGCGGTTCCGTCACCCCGAGCGCCTTCTCCTGGTGTCAGGGAGGGATTTCGGGATGCGCCTCCCGGTGTCCTACCGGTATTCCCGTAGTAGCAGGGTGTGGCACGGTCCATGTCATCGTAGCAGCATCCTGCCTGCACRCATCCATCCCGTCCCTGCGGAGCCACGCACGGCATCCGCCCCACCGGCACCTGGCACTGCTCCCGCGTCAGCGGCATGCCTGGGGGGAAACAGGGATCACAGCACGGAATTTAGGCTGGAAAAGCAACCTGAGGCCRTTTCCCTTTGTCCCAGCATCCCTGCATCCCATCTTTCCTCCTTACCTGCCCCAGCCGAGGGGTAGAAGACCGCTGTGGAATGCAGCAGGCTGGGCTGGGTGTGAATCCCRGGATGCAGCAATCCAGGCTGAGCCTGCAGCCCTGGGCGTCCCTGGCCWGGCTGGGGCTGAACCTGGAGCCCAGAGCTGATCAAACCCGGCCAGGATGAGAGTCCTGGGTGCACCAGAGCTGGGCTGGGATGGCCGGGATGGAGCAGCCCAGTGTGGCCCTGGAGGCTGGTYTGGGAGTTGGAGTATTGGCTGGGATGAGATATTCCCCCATGGTTTGGGGGCTGAGCTGCCGGACGCAGGAATCCCGCTGGAGTCTGAGCGCCAGCGGAGGTCAGGACAGGCTGGTGTGACACAAGCCCGGGGCGAAGCCCTGGTTGGTTTTGATTCCCAGGATGGTTTGGGGATATAAATGCTGGACGAATTTGCCCTGGTTGGTTTTGACTTTCAGGATGGGTTTGGGATACAGACCCCGGGCGAATCCCTGGTTGGTTTTGACCCCCGAGATGCGCCATCCCAGGCTGATTTTGGGATACAGATCCTGGACGAATCCCTGGTTGGTTTTGACCCCCAAGATGCGCCATCCCAGGCTGATTTTGGGATACAGATCCTGGGCGAATCCCTGGTTGGTTTTGAACCCCGAGATGCGCCATCCCAGGCTGATTTTGGGACACAGTCCCTGGGCGAATCCCTGGTTGATTCTGCCCCCCGAGATTCATCATCCCGGGCTGATTTTGGGATACAGACCCCGGGCGACTCCCTGGTTGATTCTGACCCCCAAGATGTGCCATCCCAGCCTGATTTTGGGATACAGATCCTGGATAAATCCCTGGTTGGTTTTGAACCCCGAGATGCGCCATCCCAGGCTGATTTTGGGATACAGACCCTGGGCGAGTTCCTGGTTGATTCTGWCCCCCRAGATKCATCATCCCRGGCTGATTTTGGGATACAGACCCTGGGCGACTCCCTGGTTGGTTTTGACTCCCAGGATACACCATCCCAGGCTGATTTTGGGATACAGACCCTGGATGAAGTTGCCCCGGCTGGGTTTGACCCCCAGAATGCATCAAACTGGGATGGTTTTGGGATACAAGCACTGGGCGAAGCAYCCCTGGCTGGTTCTGCTCCCCGTGCTGGGGGGACTGCACTCCCGGGCGGGTGAAGGTTCCCTGGATTTGGGTGACAGGATGAGAGAGCCCCGTGCCAGCTGGATTGGAATGGTGCCAGAACTCCGGATGCACCAAGCGGGTTGTGTCCCGTGGCACAGAGTAAAGCTGCTCCAAGCGGTCCTGGGATGAGAACTGCGATCCTGTGAGGGTGAGGGAGGACTCGGAGACTTGGTGCAGGAGGCCAGTCTGGGAGATCAGGACTCCGTTGTCCTGGCTCTGCTCCTGGTTTCCATCTGGGAGCGTCTGAGGGCTGCCAGGCTTGGGGCAGGTCATGTTGACATCGTAGGAGGTTACCGGGAACCCGGTGGACAGCAGCTCTTCCAGCTGCACCCGCAGGATGTAGCGGTTCTCCTGTGGGGGGACACAAGGGACAGTCATCCCCATCCTGCCAGTGGGGACCGCGGAGGGGACAGGAGTGTCACCTTGAACAGGACGTGGCAGCCCTTGTAGCCAGAGGAGAAGACGACAGAGCCATCCTCTCGGGGGTTCAGCCAGTGGAGGCAGATGGAGCAGTTGGCCACATCGAAGCGGGAGCCGAACTCATCTGTGGGGACACCATGGACGCAGGGAAGTGACACATCCGGGCACATGGAACCCCCCCAGCGGCACCTACAGCTCGTCCAAGACATCCGGCTCACCCCACTGGGATACCACCACCATGGAACGCTCCAGTTTTGGGAGAATTCCCAGGGAAATCCAGCACCCAAGGGGATCTGGGGCATCCCCCCCACTCACCCAGGACCTTGAAGCGGACGGTGTGGCCGTGGGGAGGGAAGACCAGGAGCTGCATTCCCAGCTCTCCGCAGTCCTGGCGGTACCGCAGCAGCGCCACGCTGGCTCTGGGCCATGGGAACAKGAGGAAGAGGAACAGGAGGAAGGAGCAGCTCCATCCCATGGCGGTGACATGGACAGAGCACGGGGCTCTGCGGTGTGGGTTTATATCTGAATGCGGCGGGGGGAGGATCAGCTGATCCCGTGGGATGAGCTCTGAGCTCTGCCCAGGGCTCCTCGCTCCCGTGCCGCCGGTGACCTCAGTGCCCCTGCCCTGTGGTCACCTCCCGTGGCYGTGTCACGGTGACCAGGGACAAGCCAAGCTTGGAGACTCTGTCCCGGAGAGCAGGGAATGGAGCTGGCACCGGGCAGGATGCCCAGCTGGATCGAGTTATCCAGGGGGAAAGGAGAGGGCTGGTGTCCCAGAGCCAGTGGGGACAGTGGTGACAGCTGCACACACCACTGCTGGGATAGCTGGGACACTGGGACTGTGTCCACTGTGTCCACTGCTGGGACAAGGGGACACGGTAGCATGTTCCCAGTGGGATGTGAGGGGCTGGGAATCAGTCAGTTGTCCAAAATTCCTGCTGCACCCCGGCTGTGCCCTGCTGGCAGTGGCACAGGGAATTCAAAGTCCTGTGTGYGTGCATTCCCTCTGCCTTCCTTTCCCAAAGTTTCCCTTCTGGGATTTATCTTTACTGTGGATTAAATCAGCCACCCCCCACCAACCCTTCCTGGATTGCCAGTCAYGGCCATGTCCTGGGCATGGGAATGGGATCATGCCGGCTCCCAGGGGCACGGGAACCCCGGCAGGAGGGTTTGAGGAGCTGGGGGCTGGATGTGATTCCCTCAAACCTCCTCAGGAAGCTATGGCAGCTGCAGGGACACCTGTGGGATTGGGTCGATATATGGCCAATATATGTTCTATAYGTGCCCCATGTATTTCCTATATGTGCACTTCATATGTCTGATGTCCTATATGTGCCATATGCCCCATACACGTGTCCTGCATCTGATATATGTCAATATATGTTTTGTACATCCTATATATGTCCAACACATGTCTGAGATGTCTGTTCTGTATCCTATAGATATTCCACATGTATCCAATACATATCCTATGTATATGTCCAACACACATCTGATGTACACATCCAACATATCCTAAATATATGTCCACTGTATACTGGAAATACATATATTGGATATATATCCAAAATAAATGTCCRGTATATATCCTAAATATATATGCCAAATAAATGTCCAGTGCATATCCTAAATATATATCCCAAATAAATGTCCTAAATATATCTCCAGTCTTTGTCCCACAGAAGCACAGGCAGGAGCCACCAGTGACATTTTATTGCCCTCAGTGACAACCCCGACGACCCCAACCCCTTTGTCCCCYGTCACAGCTTCATGGTGGCAGCCAATCCCAGCTGGAGCTCCAGGAACCGCAGGATCTCCTGCCAGGAATGCTCCTGGGCCCAAGCRTGGGGCTGGGGCTCTCCCCCCCACRCCASSGGCCKYGGGGTGCCCCGGATGCTGGAGATGCTGCACAGGGGGGACCCGGGGGGCTCGATCAGGTGCCCAGCACCGGGGTAGGACAGGAYCCGGCCGCTCTCCGGCGGCATCCGCGCCACGGCCAGCTCGGCAAAGAGCTTGCTGTTGAAGCTGCGGTCAGCCTCTCCCACCACAAACAGCACCTTGCCCCGGATCCTCTCCACCGGGATGGCCGAGGCGCTGTAGGCGGGATCCCGCGGGTCGGCGAAGATGGCCGAGTTGTCCATGGCTCCCACCTCGGTGAACAGGACGCGCTCGGTGTAGTAGGGAATGGGAGGGATGCGGATCTCCTTGTAGACCAGCGGGTTTCCGTGCAGGAAGGCCGTGCCGTTGATCCACACCGTGGCCACCACCTGTGGCAGGAAGGTGGCCATGGCCAAGGCCACCTCTGCGCCTTTGGAGACGCCCACCACGCCCAGGCCGGGGCCTCGGACCTGCAGTGAGAGAAAATGGAGCCAGCCAGGATAATACACAGGTATAATACACTTAGTGGGACATCCTTAGGTGCTGGGACAAGGATGCCCCCATGGCATACCCCATCAGGGATATGTCACTGGGACATCCCACTCACCAGGGCATCCCCGCTCACTGGGATATCCCCAGTCTCTGGGACATTCCTGGTTCTYGGGAYAAGCCTGGAACATCAACCCTGATCACCTGGACATCCCACTCACCAGGATGAGGATGCCCCCAAGATATTCCTGGTCCCCAGGACAATCCCTGGTCACATGGACATCCCACTCACCAGGATGAGGATGCCTCCAGGACAATCCCTGGTCCCCAGGACAATCCCTGGTCACTCGGACATCCCGCTCACCAGGATGAGGATGCCCCCAGGACATTCCTGGTCCCCAGGACAATCCCTGGTCACCTGGCCATCCCGCTCACCAGGATGAGGATGCCCCCAAGACATTCCTGGTCCCCAGGACAATCCCTGGTCACCTGGCCATCCCGCTCACCAGGATGAGGATGCCCCCAAGACATTCCTGGTCCCCAGGACAATCCCTGGTCACCTGGACAATCCCTGCTCACCTGGACATCCCCCTCACCAGGATGAGGATGTCCCCAGGACAATCCCTGGTGACCTGGCCATCCCGCTCACCAGGTTGCCCCCAGTCCCCAGCACATCCTGGCTCACAGGTGCCCTTCTCCATGCTCCGGGACTCACCTTGGGATGCCGCAGGAGTAGCTCCGCTGCTTCCTCGAAGTATTCCAGGTCCAGCTGGGCCAGGACTCGGGGCAGGTCGTCATAGGCAAAGAAGGCGAGGGCCAGCACAGCAAAGCCCCGGCTGGCCAAGAGTCCCGCCCGGAACTCGATCAGCCCCCCCGCGCCCCCAAACAGRTCGATCACCCCCGGGAAGGGGCCTGGACCTGCACAAAGATAGAGAATGTCAGGGATGGGGAGCCATCAGTGCTGGGCTGCATCCCAGGGCTCACAAGGTTCAACATCCCGGGGGTACAAGGTTGGGTATTCCAGGAGTCCTGAGGGTGGGCATCCCGGGGAWCCCAAGGTTCAGTTTCCTGGGGGTCCCAAGGCTGGGCCATCCCAAGTTCCTGAGGTTTGGGATCCCTGGGATCCCAAGGCTGGGCAACCCAGGGGTCCCAATAYTGGGCAGCCCAGCCAAGGCCAAACAACCCAGGAACCCCAAGGCTTGGCATCCCGTAAATCCCCGAAGTTGTTTCCCAGGGGTCCCGATGCTCGGCATGGCCAGCATCCCAAGGGAACACCAGCTGGGTATCCCAGAGGTCCCAAGGTTGGGCATTCCTCGGAAGTGCCAAGGTTTGCTATCCCGGTATTCCCTGCTCCCCAGTGCTCACCAGGAGGCAGGAATAGGGCACCACGGACCCTGCCCTCACGGAYGGGCACCCGCTGCACTCCGGGGCCCACGAACCAGCGCTCGGCCTCGCAGGATGCCAGCGGCTGCTCCTTGGGMTCCACGCCCAGGCAGAGCCCGTCCAACACCTCCAGCCGGACGCGGAAGGGGCTGCCGGCCACATCCCGCTTGACCAGCCGTCGGAAAAGGGTGTCGGGCTGCAGGAACCAGAAAAGCCCCATGGGCCAGACCCCGGAGTAGCTGCCCCCCAGGGCGGCGTGGAGCCCGGGATCCACCTCTCCCGCTCCGTCAGCGCGGAAAAAGGCGCGGGATTGGAAGCGCTCGCCGTGCTCGTCCTTCAGCCATGCCCGGAGGGTGACGAGTTGGGATGGGGACAGTCCCCGCACGCGGATCTGCACCGGCCGGTCAGACAGCGAGGATTGCGGTGTCACTGTCACCTCCACCATGGTGCACCTGGGAATGGGAATCATCCCGAGTGTCCCACAGGGATTGCCGTGCCCAGGAGGGGGCTGGAAGCAGGGGACTGTGCCCAGGGGTCCTCACGGGGGGCTCCCAGGGTGGGGTTTGTGGTCCAGATGCTGCCATCGCTCCTTCCCTGTCCCTGTCCCTCCTTCTCTGTCCTCATCCCTCCTCCCCATGKCCTCATTCCCTCACGGTCCCCATCCCTGTTTCCTGGTCCGTGTCCCTCCTTCCCCAATTCCTCTCCCTTCCTTCTCTGATACTTCCCCCCTCTTCCCTTGCTACCCCATCATCACCCGCTCCCCATTCCCTCCTTCCTCCATCCCCTCTCTTCCTGGTCCCCTCCTCCCGTGACTCCCTTCCTCTTCCCTAGTTCCTGTTCCTCTTTCCCTGCCTCCCTTTTCCCAAACCTCTCCCTCCCTACCACYTCCCAAACTCTGACCCCAAAACCCYGCTCCAAAACCCACCCGGCTGCCAGGACACCCCTTTTCCACAGGGATCTCCCACCCCGGCACTCCCGGCACCCACCGTCCCCTCTCCTTATCCAACTCCCCACCCCAGAGCCGGTGTGGGGCAGGAATCCAGGGGCTCCGAGACCCCCAATCCCGTGGGCACCCCCTCCCTCTCGCTCTCCGTGCAGCACAGCAGGCTGGGAGCAGGAACGTTGGCCCCCGGCCAGCCCTGGGAGGAGACACCCGGTTCTCCCACATCCGTCTCACCAGGAAATCGGACCCCGAAGGCCCGAGCTTCCCTTCTCTCACCCCGCCGGGCAGAGCCTGGGCCCTGGGCTCTGCAGAGGGAGAGGCTCGAGGATTCCTTGGAAATCATTAACCTGGGAATGGCAAGGGCAGAGCCCTCCYGCTCCATGACCCCGTGCCTCGCTGGCACCGGCCGCACCCCAAAATTCCTCCCAATCCCCACTTTCTCTGTGGCACCCCCTTATACTGGACATGGGTGGGAACCCCCATCCCAATTTTAGGGGGGGTTTCCACAAATTTTCACCCCAGGGTGAAGCTCCAGGGCACCCTATTCCCACCCCAGGGTTTCCCATTGCTTCCTGCAGCCCCATTTTCCACCCAGTGCCCCGCTTTGTCCCCTCCATCCCAGCAGCCAGCCATATCCCTCCCAGGAATGCAGAAAGGGATATTCACACACCAAGGAAAACCAGGAATGTGAAGATATCCACTTCCAGCCCCTTCTTTCCATCTGTCCCCCCACCCAAATTCCCAGCACTGSCCCTTTTCAGAGGGTGTGTGACACGTGTCCCCTTCCTTGGGGACAGGCTTCAAGGCTCATTCCCAGCAGTAATTCCCTTTTTRGGGAGGGGGAGCCTTCCCAAAGGGAGTGAGGGGCCATGGCACACCCYAATCCCAGGAATGCCTTAGGGAAGGCCCCATCTGGAGCCACCGGTCCCCAGAACCACTGGAGTCAAATCTGTCTCAGTTCCTCTTCATTTTTATAAGAAAAAAAAGGCAAATTTGGGAAAGCAAAGTTCTGTTCCAGCCTCTGGCACGGGCCACATTCCGATTCCACAGGGATTGGTGGAATAACCAGCTCTGTCTTGCTGTTTGTCCAACACTGAGAGTCCTGGTGGTGATTCCAGCCCACCAAGCCGAGGAAAAACCCCTGGAAAGGAGCAGGATCCACGGGAATCCTGGCTGCATGGCTCAGGCTTGGCAGTATCCCAATTCCTGCCTCATTCCGTGGCTGTGCTGCGCCTCACAGGCGTCTTCTGGAGCAGGGCCAGCGTGTCCCGCTTCTCCACCCGCCTCAGCTGCTTCTTCTTGGCCCGCTTSAGCTTCAGGGGGTTCCGGATCTGGGAAAGGGGAAAAGAGAGAGATTTCATGGAATTGTGGGATCCTGGAATGGTTTGGGCTGGAAGGGATCTTGAGGATGACCCAGTTCCMTCCCTGCACCACTGCAGGKTGCTCCAAGCCCTGTCCTGGAGCWTTCCCAGGGATGGAGCAGAGTGCAGGAACCAGGAGGGATGGGCACGGATGGCTCCCAGTCTCCCATCACCAAGGATTCAGGATTTAGAAGCAGATTTACCCCAAAACGAACTCCATCATCACCACCCCAAGCTCCTAGGTCTCTTTCTGATGGAAAAGCATGATTTTCCCGCATGGATCCCCATCAGTGCTGCGTTTTTCTTACTCCACCACCCGTTATTCCTCAGTTCTGATGTTCCCAAGCTTGGGAGAACACAGGGGACACCCTCCCAGTGTGCCTGGATTTGCTGGGAATCTCCCTGTCCTCCCAGCATCCTCCAAAGATGGAAACACGAAGAACTGGAATGAACTGGAGCAAATCAGAGGCTGATCCRTGAGGGGCTGGATGTTGTGGGGTGTTCCCAGCGCTGTTCCCAGCTGGGAGAGGGGACTCACCACTTGGACAATCTCGGCTTTCCGCTCGTTTTCCAGGCGYCGCTTCAGGTTTTCCTCCCGCCGCCGCTTCTTTTCCTGTGGGGAGCAGCACCAAAACATTCCCAGTGGGCCCCTCCCTCTGGGATTAAATCCAAACCCGACGCCTGCCCAAGCGTGAAATCTGTCATTCCAGCAGCTTTTCCACTCCGGATGAGGCTGGAACCGACCCAGGGAGTTTATTCCCAGTCYGTGACTTGGAGCATGTGACCATCACAGCCTGGATTTGGCACCAGGACAGGGAATTGTCCATCCCAGSTGCCCTTTTCCGGGGCTCTGCCACAGCTCTGATGCCTGGGATGAGGGCAGAGACATGGGAAAAGTGGGAATTCTCCAGCCCCCGAGCCCCGGTACCTCCTTCTCCCTCTGCTTCGCCTCCTCCAGCTGCCGTGCCAGATCCCGGACCAGCTTCCTCTCCTGCCTCTCCTTCATTTTTCGTGCCCAGGAGGTGCGGAGCGCCTTGTCCTGGATCATGTGGGAGAACCTGGGTGGGCACACGGGAGGTGTTAGCACCCCAAAACCTCGGGATGCACCCCTTCCCAGACACTCCCCAGAATTCCATGAAAYTCCCCCGAGCTCGGAGCATCCCGCRGCAGCCTCAGCCCCTCGGCATTCCCACCCCTCTGCTCAGGAACCCCCACCAAGCATCCCTGCCCCCTCTGGATCTTCCCTAAAACCCATGGATACCTCCAGAGCCCCGCTACAAGCCCCCGAGATAGCCCCAAACAAACCTGTCCCCCCCCCAAATGCCCCCAGAGTTTCCCCCGACCTCAAGGCCCCCCCAGACCCCGCTGGAGCCCAGAGGCCTCCCCAAAAACCTCCCACTCCTGCCCCTCTCCCACCTCTTCTTCCCGGGATCCTTCCACACGCGTCCCGACTTGGGCTTGCCCCGCGGGATGGCCACCGCCGCCTCCTGCCGCTTCTTGGCGCGTTTCCGCGGCCGCCGAGCCGAGAGGGGCCCTGAGGGACCGTCGGGGGTCGATCCCGGGCCCGGGGTGCTCCCGTTCGCTCCCTCCATGATCCACGCGGTGTCGCAGAGAGATGACGTCAGAGCCGCGCCCCCCCCCCCACGGAAGCGCGAAGCCAGCGAGCCTCCCCGGCCGCCATCTTTGTGTCGGGCARAGCCCCCTGTGCAGGGCGGCGACCGCCATSTTTGTGCCGGGCAYMGCCGCCATCTTTGTGTCGGGCAGCGCCCCCTGCGCAGGGCGGCGACCGCCATGTTTGTGTCGGGCACGGCCGCCATGTTTGTGCCGGGCAGCGCCGCCCGCCCCCGTGGCCGCCGGTACCGGGACCCCCGAGCCCCCCAAACCCACCGGAGCGAGACCCTCCCGCACCCCGAGTGACCCCCGGAGACACGCGCGGGCTGGGCTAGGCTGGGGGACAGGCCTTTATTGGGGGCAGAACACGCAGGGGGTCCGGTACCGGGGTCGCCCCCGGGATGCGGCTCCATGTCGGGGGCTTGGCCATGGCTACGGCGCCTGGGAAAGCAAAAACAGGGAAATCCARKGAAATCTGTGAGAGRCACACRGAAACCCCCGGGCTGGGGCTGCCTYTCGGAGGAAGGAAGAGGTGGATCAGCATTCCAGGGATTCCCGGGGATYCCCGAATTAATTCCTCACCAGTTGAGTGTATCTGTGCTGYCGGACGATGTCGTAYCCAAACGCCAAAACTGCCACAGCCACGCAGAATCCCAGGAGGCTGAGAAGCACCAAGGTGGAATCCAGCCCATTGCTCAGGATCTGTCAGGGAGGAGAGTGGGATGTCCTGGGAATTCACCACCTGAGCGGGACGTGGAGGCTCCGTCCCACCTGAGCGGGGTCGTGAGCCTGGGATCCCCCACCCCGATCCCCCCTCATGATCCCAAATATCCAAACCTTGCCCTGCATGTTGAGGCACCATTCCGGGCGGATCTGGAAAGGCCTGAGCTTCTCACAGCCGGGCATGTGCCGGGTGATGGCCATGCCATGGATCCCAGTGGCCACCAGCGTGCTCAGGACAACGCCCACGTTGACCACGCAGCAGGTCTTGACCTGCGGGAAGCAGCCGGTGACACGGACCCCGGGAAGGGCTGCTTCCCGMAGGGATTGTCCAGCTGGGATCAAAGATCTGGAGGAGCCGCCCGGTTTTGTCCCACTCATCCCAAAGTGATGCCAAAAGCCATGAGGGTCTCAAGGACCTTCCATCCCTCTCATCCCACAAAGACCCCGAGGGTGTCCTGGACCCTTTATCCCCCTCATCCCAAAGTGACTCCAAAGGCCAAGAGAGTCTCCTGGACCTTTTGTCCCCCTCATCCTACAGTGACCACGACCCCCATCCTGTGCTCCATGTGCACTTCCTGAGGGGGAGACTGGCCTGAGGATCCCGTGGGATGAATCCAGGCTGTGGAGGGGTCCCAGAGGACACTGAAAAGGACATAAGGAATGGGGGGACACATTGTCCCTCCCAGCCTGGATCTTACCAGCATGGGGCTGTCTCTCCTTTCACTTTCCACCAGCAACGAGCCTGAGACCAGGAGCTGCTTGGCAAACAGTGGGAATTGGTGTCAGCAGCAAGGCACCCTTACCTGTCACCCTTCCTGCTATCCCTCCATCTGGGAATTGGGGTTCAGGGATGCACAAAAACCCCAGAGGRAGCAGCTGGAACGTGGGGGAGTCAGTGGAAACCTGATGACCTAAGGATATTTTCCCCAATCCACCAGGATTCCCTGAAATCCCCACGTCCTCATCCCAGCTTACCAGGATCCCAAGCCAGAAGAGGATCCCGCTGGCCACAGGGAGGGAAGGGTTGTCRTGCTCCGACAGCGTCAGGATGATCCCAAAGCAGATGTGGATGATCCCACTGAAGATGTGGATRGTCTGGGGAAGGGATGGGGGAGAGGGATCCCAATCCCGTTGCTGTGAGACAGATCCCACCCTGATCCCACATCACAGTACCAGGAAGGGACTGGGAGAGGCTCCTGTCCCAATGCACCCTCCACGCCTCATCCACTGTGGATCCCCAGTCCCTGCCATGCCTCTGGAAAGCCATSTCTCACCCCCAACACCTTGGGATGAGCCCTCTGGAAGCCTTGCGTCTGGAATGATGTCCTGGCAGCTGCAGGGGGCTGGGAGCCTGAGACCAGCTGGGCTGCCCGGGGATCTGTGGCCGGGATCACCTCCGTGATGATCCTCACGCTGCCGGCATCGGTCACCGTGGTGGCTGCCATGGCTTGGGAGTGAGCCTGGGGAGCTGAAGGAGTTCCCAGGTGCTTTCCTCCTCCTCCTCCTCCTCCTCCTCCTTCTCCTCCTCCTCCTCCTCACCACAGTCCCCTCGCTGTCTGATATCCCTGGGAGGTGCTGGCCAGGCAGGGACACAATCCCACTGCCCTTTGCTCCCTGCGGGAAGCTCACTCACGGAATTCTCGTCAGGCCCCTCTTGCTCAACGAGGCAGCTTTGCCAACAGAGGCTCCCAAAATCCTGCACGGGAAGGACGTCACGGGGCTGTCACAGGGCTCTGCAGCTTTGGGAAGCGTTGGATGCTTTTCCCTCGGGATGCTTGCAAACCCCCTTTCCCAGCCAGTTTGAAAGTCCATCCCAAATTGTGGATGCTTTGCTTGGGAATGTCCCTGCAATTAACCTGGCACCCAACGAGGTGTTCAWAATTTAATCCTGCCCATTTCCCAGGAAAAACCTGGATTGGGACAGGAAACTTTATAAATGCCGTTATAGAGGAAGCTCCTTTATTGTCATTTTTGGGGGCTTCTCCTTCCTCAATCCCTGTGGATTTGTCCCCAGTGAGGACAGACCCAGGAGGGATCCAGGCATCCCTGGCCAGCTCCATCAGGTGCCAAATGGAAAGGAGATGCTGTTATTTACGATGGGAAGTGGGAGCTCAGGCTGGGAATGGAGCCACACACATGGYGAGGGGATCCCGAGGGATTCAGAGGCCCCTTCCTTCCTCCATCCCTCCCTCCTCCCGGAAAACAGCCATGTCCTTTTCTCCAGAAGGGCTGGAATACTCCATGCTTGCCTGGAGGACTCTGTCTGGGTTTCCTAGATGTTCAATGGGTGCAGGGTAGGAATTTCTTGGTGGAACAGGAATTTTTAGGTCCTGGCATCTCCAGCTGAGGATTTCAGGAGCAGCAGCAACTTTTGTAAGCGTTTTTTTTTCCTTCCCTCTGGCTCTAGAGGGAGCTGAGAGCCCGGGTTTGGAAGCAGAGCTCRGGAGAGGCTTCCAGCCCTGGAGCCAGCTTGGATGAGGCTTGGAACAACCTGGGGTGGAACTGGGTGATCCTTAAGGTCCCTTCCATCCCAAAACATTCCAGGATTCTGTGCCCTCACCATGCTCCCACATACCAGGRAATGGGACACCCCCTGAACCAAAAAAGAGCTCACATCCCAAAAAAAGGAGCTGGAAGAACAGACCTGGAAAGCAAAGAGCAACAAGTCACGTTTCCATCCTGGCTCCAATGGCATTCCTCCATCCCACCCATGACCCTCCTCCATCCTGCACCGCTGATGGAAGCGTGCACTTGGCCTTGTAAAGGGCTGCATCTGGAGGCATGGCTTTCCAGGAAAAACATGGACATGGAYGAGATTCAGCCTCTTCATCACATTCCTGATGCCTCAGAGCCTTTTAATTCCTGCTGGTGCCTCATCCCTCTCAACACTCCAATCCTAACAATCCCAGGGATCTCGTTGCAGCSCCTGGAAGGAACACTTGAGCTCCCATGGAAATTCTGGGATCCCCTCTTTAGCCTTTAGGCCGCCGGGGTATCCTCCAGCATTATCCACGGCTCACATTCCCAGCCAAAACCCCCCTACACGGTGGATTTCCTCCCAAATCTGCCTTTCCAGATTCCTACAGCATTCCTGAAGTTCCAGCCTTGCAGMCAGAAACAGCCGTGACTGCCCTCGGCCCCAAACCCCCACTTTCCAAGCGAGTTATCCATGGAAAAAGCACTTTCTCTCTTCCTAAATAAACCCAGTCCAGCTGGGGATGGCAGGAGCCCAAGGTAGGATGTTGGGATTTATTTTGGAAGCAGATTCCAATAGAGGTGAAGCTTTGAAGCAGATGCAGGGAAGCAGCAAGGCCAGGCAGTGGAGCTTTCCAACCTTTTCTTTGCAGGAATTTTTGGCTTTGTGGACATGTACAACACTTTGCTTGGATTTTAATGTTCGTTTTCCTATTTTCAAGGACAAGTTTTGGATGGGGRAAGCCTGGCTGGATGCTCAGGGGGGATCAGTGAGACCCTCCCAAGTTCCCTCTCACCAGCACAGGACAACATTTACAAGCCTGGTGGAATCAAAATTTCTTTTCCAGCCCAAAAATCYRTGGGGTTTTTTTTCCAAAGAAAATAGATTACAACGGAGAAATGCTCTCCACAGAAAGTTGCTGCTTCCTGGGACAAACTTTATATCCCCATAAAAATACCAAAAGTCCACATTTTGCTTTGCTTCCAGGTGTTTCTGCTTCCCACAGGGCTCTTTCCATACTGATTCCAGAATGAAAGTCATGTTTTCTGGGAGAGGTTCCAGATTTTTTGGCTTTGAACACCACAGTGTTCATCCTGGATTAGGGAATCCAGAGCTGGGAGCAAGCAGGAGGTTGGGGCAGGGGCATCACTGAACCTGGCATTTGGGACAYGGTGACATTGCTCCCAAATCCTGCTCCAGAAGTGTTTGTCATCCCCTGCATGTGACATTCCAGCCTTTGATCTGCTCATTCCCAGTAAAACTCCTGCWGCTGCAGAAAAGTTCCAGTACTTCTCCAAGGCTTCACCAGCCTCAGGTCCCACTGACAATCCTGGAAAGGGACATTGAGCACTTCCAGGGATGGGGCAGCCACAGCTTCCCTGGGAAATCCATTCCAGGGCCTCACCACCCTCWMRGGRAMRAKTYCYTYCCMAWWWYCC